CCAGCATGCTGTGTTCTAGGATGGAGCTCAGAGTTACCAGCCGTGAATGTGAAGGCCTCTTTGAAACTGTTTTTGATGCTCAGTAAGATATAGGGTCTTGGACAGGCATCTTCTATGCAAACCATGGCCATACAAAACTCAAGATCATTTGTTAATCCCAGTAAATGGGATGGGTAATGATTTCTTGGAGCTAAGGGAGAGGTTGTCTTCAGTCATACCATTTAGACCTTTCTGGGTCCAGTTGCTTAATATTTGTTAAGATAATTTTACATTCCAGAATGAATTCTAATTGATAACTTTATAGGGGAAAAATGACCCAAATACAAAATTCTGAAAATAAATTCAAATTTTCTATGTTAAAAACCTGATGTGAATACATACACTTTTCTAAATCAAATATATATACATCTTATATAAATGTATACTTTTAGTAAAAGGACATTATGTATGCATATATTTTACACAATGTACAATACATATATTATACATTAGATATACACACAAAACATAAATTTCCTAATAAAATTATCGAAAGCTATTGGACTTAAGAATACGAAGCCAAATGTGTGTCTTAAATATCTTCCAAATTGGAGATCCTAGACCAGAAATTGAAAATTCTTTTTATGAAGAATAGTAAATATTCTAGCCTTTGAGATCTATAAGGTTTTGTTGCAACCATTCCATGCTGCCATTGTAACAAAAAAGCAGCAATAGGGAATACATTTATTAGGAGCTTTCCTGTGATCCAATACAACTTTATAAACACCAACATTTATATTTTATATGGTTTCCACTTGTTATAAAATATTATTCTTCTTTTAACTTTTAAAATTATTTAAAAATATAGATGCCATTCTTACCTCCAGAGATGTAAAAATCGAGGGGATGGGCCTATTTGGCTCACAGCCAGTAGTTTCCAGATCTCTGATCTAGACCCACCTCTCCAGGTGACAGGTCTCAAGAATGGGTGTGCAATAGGAGGAGTTAGGCAAGCAAAGCTGTCACATGAAAAGGCAGAAGAGAACAGGGTCAAGGCATATCATCCACAATAGCAAGCTCTTTCACTAAAGAAAGAAATGGCAAATCTGAATCCTGTTAATCTCCTGAGCTTGAAAATTCCTTCCACCTAATTTTCTATGCCAAGTATGTTTTAGTTTAAAATGTTCATTTTCCTTCCCTGCCCTTGGTTCTGTTAGTGAAAAGGGTCAGAGTTGTCAATATTTTGATGATCATTCAATTTCCTTATCTGATCTGTTAGCATCAATAATGGTGATAGTAACAATTAT